TGGGAGGCCCGCTGGGGCAGCACCACCTGACAGGCGGCAGTCCCTGCAGGCGGCGCGGCGCGGCCGGAGCGCGGTGCGCAGTGCCCTCTGGTGGACGCGCGCCGTCAGCGCCCCCGGGCTCCGCGCCTAAGTGGCGGATCCCAGGCCGGCGCAGGGCTGCCGGCTCGGACCCTGCAGGACCTGCCAGGCGGCCTTGGGCGGCAGCTTCTCCTATCAGGGGACCAAGGCCGGCGCCGTCCGGAACTGGTATGCAGGCAGGCTTCAGGGAGCAGCCCCGCCCAGAGTTGGGGCCTCTGTCCCCGCAAGAAGGGCATCACACTGTGGCCCCCGCCCCCAACTGCAGGGGGGAGCTTCTGGTAGTGCAGCAGGCAGCTGGCGCCCACGTCCATTCAGTGGGGCATGACAGGCAGGTCCACACACCCCCTGCAGCCCCTTCTGGAGTATTCTCCACCACCACCACCCCAGGGCGGATGGCCACTGGACAGAGGCTCAGACCCAAGTGCCCTCACACTGCCCTAGAGCAGGAGAGGGGGCAGCCCGAGGCGCAGGTGGGCTCCCAGGACCCCATGTGTCAAGCAGAGCCAGATTCCACCAGGTTTCAAAGGCTCTAGACTGCCAGGACTTCCTGCCTGCCTGCAGCGTGGATGGACTCCTGGGCAGTAGGCCAGTATGGACTCGTTTGCTGGCACGGTCTGCTCCCAGCCAGCAGGGTATGGCCCAGGTGGGCAAGGACATGCCCCTTACAGTAGGACTGTGGTGTCTTGGCATGGGCTCCTCTGGTCACCAGCCAGACAGGCCCTGTGGAGCCCAGAGAGCTGTGCCCCCTGCATGGAGGGTCCCCAGGTGCTGCCAGCTTTGAGAGAGATGGGCATGCCAGGCCTGCTTGCCCGGAGCAGACATGGCATGGTACAGTCACCCAGTGTGGACACTGACCCTGGCTCCCCCTACCACTGCAGGGACTCCACGTCGAGGCCTCCAGGACCAGCATGGGAGGCCACGCCTTGGTTTCCCGTCTGTGACAGGTACAGGGAGGATGGGTGGGTCCATGTAGTACATGCCAGGCAGCCTGTACCACAGGCAAGTGGTTCCCATGACAGGCAGCACCCACTGGAATGTGTGGATTTACTCGGGGACAGCACCCGAGCCACAGGGACCCCGTGTCCCACAATGCCAGTGTGCAGTGGACCCCTCAGGAAGTCACTTGGACTCATGTGCCGAGGGTGACGTCTCCAGGGATGGTGGTAGGGCCAGGACCTCCACCCACCTCACCCCACAACTTGGTGCCCACCCAGGCCCAGATCCCGGCATCCCTGAGCCACCAGCACACAGCCAGCCTCCACAGGAGTGTGGTCAGTGTGTCTGCACCCCAGTGAGGTGCCTGCGATGCAGGAGAAGTAAATGCAAGAGGTCAGCTACCAGGACTACTCCGCCTGCACGCTGCGTCAGCCCAAGCCACTCCCCGTCCTCCACTGTGAGCCCCCCCAGCCCGTCACAGAGCCGGGTGATGCTGAGGGACGCCGTGGCCATGGCCCGGTACACACCGCTTGGGCAGTCACAGGATGGACCTTCTGGAGGGCCACAGCCGTCTTGGGAGGAGTGGGAGGAGCGGCCTGTCTTGGTGAAGCAGGTAGACCAGGCTTCACCTGGTCCCCTCCTTGGAAACCAACACCCGCCAAGCGTGGAGAAAACGGCGCTCCACACACGCCTCCTGCGTGAATCTTTAGGGAGAGAGGTTTTAATTTTAGCAGCAAGTACCAATCCTCAATTTTAAGAAACCTGATTTTGCCACAGAAATTAAATCAGAAACGGTGTCTATTTAAATCTTAATTAAACCTTTAACATCTGGTTGGCTTGTTGTATAATCCCCCAAGGGGGGTGGGGGGTGATTACCAGGGCCACATGACCCCAAGGCACCAGGGTCTCTTCAGGAATCAGGTAAACTTACTTTCGTGATGGGAAGGTAAGAGTGCAGTGCTTGGAAGTGGGGCTCCTGATTATAAAACCCTGCTTACTGCTCCTTCAAAGACAGTCCCAACCTCGAGCCCCTCCGCTGGATGGAATAAACACGTCTGCAAAAACGGACACAGCAACGGGAGGGCTTGCTCCTCTGGGCAGGTGGGTGACTGGCACGCTGACCCTCAAGCCGAGGCCCAGCGACAGCTGTGAGCAGGGCCGGGGCTCCCCCCAGTGTCCAAGGGCGGCTCTGCAGGACCCAGCAGTCCAGGAGTCACCTTTTAAACAGGAGGCTTGGGAGCCATGCAGCCCAACAGGGAACTTGACACCCAGTTACATACAGCAGCTGCCGCAGGTAGGCCAACAGCCACCCGCCTCTTCACACTGTAGTGGTGGTAGGTGCCACCAGGCCTGTTCAAAGCCATAGTGACCCAGAGCACACCGGAACCAACACTGCCCGGTACTGTGCCGTCTCAACACTGTTCTTGCTTGAGCCATTGTCACAGCCACCGTGTCCATCCACCTCGAGGGCCTTCGCCCCTCCACTGAACCAAGTCCGAGGTCCTGCTTAGTCCACCAGCCGATCTGCAGCACCAAGCACAGAGCTAGGCAGAGACCAAAAGAACGATGGTGCCCGACCACCATCACTGGCCCTTCTAAGGCAGGCGCTGGACAAGGTGAGCAAACCGCAGAGCAAGACTCCGTTCTCTGAACAGGCTGCTTGACTGAACTGCTAAGCGACTACAGCCGGATGCCCTGTGCACATGGACTTCATGCACCAGATACAGACCCACCAACATTCAGCCGATAGCAGAGGTCAGGGAGGGGTGGGCGGGTGGGAGGCTCCCAGCACCAGGAGCAGTGGGCAGTGGCAGCAGGTCCCACCTGCGCACACCCTCTTCTGTGGCCTGGTCAGCAGTGGTCCCATGGTCTCTTGCATGGGGCATGGCAATAGGTGGGGCAACAGCTGACAGCCACTCCTCGCCTGGGCATCAGAGCAGAGTTCGAAGTGGGAGGCCCGCTGGGGCAGCACCACCTGACAGGAGGCCTCGCATCCTCAAGTGGGATTTCAACCAAAATCTGTTTTCGTTTCTGCATTTCAAAGGCTAAAAGTTGGGGGAAATTTGAATTCTATTTTTCACCAGCATTTTGAAGTTCACTTGTGACGCAACCTGAGTTTTTAAACAAGGAGACGCTCTTGTGCTTCTCAGCACCCGTCTAACTGGGCACCCGCCACGCCCCAGGGGCTCCCTGACCGCCCCGGGGGACACCGCCGGGCAGAGCAGGGCAGCCTGGCGCTGAAGGGCTTCCTCTTCGACCCCAGCACCTCCACACAGCGTCACGGAGCCCACAGCACCTGGACCAACACCGTGGGCAATCTACAAGGGGACTGAAAAAGCTGGTGGGGAAACGCCACCCTCTTTCCATTTGACGTGTCTATGAACTTCTCACAGCCCCGCGCACTCGGGGTAACAGGTGCCACTGGCGCCCCAAGTCCAGAGAACCGTGGCGGGAGGAGGTAGGGCCAGTGCCCAAAGAGGGCCACCCCTTCTGCACCACAGTTGTCCTGGTCGCATCCACAGGCCAGTCTGTCTTGGGTGGGTGGGAGTGGGGGGCCTGCTGCAACAGTGAGAGAAGCCCTCTCCCTGAGCGAGCCCCCAGTTCCTGCAGCCAGAGGCCTCTCCTGGTCCTTCCCAGAGCCACCAGGAAGTCATGAGCACGGCTGGGCTGCATCGGCAGTGGTGCATGCTGGATACCACCTGGCCCTGGGGCCGCCCGTGCAGGACTGTCCGTTTCTGGATCACTACAGGGCATCCCCCACCACTGAGACACCCTTCACACCCAATTCTTCTGGGGTTTCAAGAAGTTTATTGTATCCCATTTTCAGTGGAAAAAAAATGTAACATACATTTAGCACGACCTTGTGACACACAGAGTGACAAGAGCACACGTGCGCCTGCCGTGGGGACGCGGTCAGGAGCTGCTCCACAGGATCAAGTATTTCTGGCGATCGTTGGGCACCGAGCTGGGGGG